TTTATGGTAATAGCAATAACCATTTCAAGCATACATCAGAGGAATATTCCAAAAGACTATGAGCTCTCTCTCTCTGTGTGTGTATGTGTACACATATATACACAAGCATACATGAGCGGTATACTTCAGATTTGGGCAAATCCATAGACAAAGTATATTTGGGCTTGTCAGAGTGAAATGGGGTCTCTATGAAATGGCATGAGTTGAATCAGGGAACTCTGAAATGCTTAGTGGCACCTAGGCAATACAGTTCTTTCATGACTGACAGCTAGCTTGTAATCAGACAGCAAGAGAATCCCTTTTAGTTGATTCCCACAAAATCAACTTTCAAGGTCCCTAGCACAATACTTTCTGGACCTATTTGTCTGCAATTTGGGGGTACCTAGGGGCACCTCTCTCATACCTACAGTTTCCATACCAACTGCCTACAAAACACTGGAGGAAATTAAGAGGAAATTTCACCTAATCCAAAACTGTAATGGCTGCTTTCACAGGAAGCTCACTTGAGATGTCCTTCTGAGATACGGCACAAACATTTGGAGCCTGCCCTGCCACTGAATACATCATAAGCAAAAAGGGCTACAGGTGGGACAACACTTAGCCTCTTTACACAACACAGATCCATGGGAATTAGTAAAATGATCTCACAAATCTGGTTTTCAGAAGCCTTGTGACTTACATTTTAGCTTCTTTGGCATAAAAATGATATGAACATACTGTTACTGCCCATATAATAAAATCATTAAGTCAAGTGGTGTAAGAAGGTTGCTGTTTTCACACACACCCTAGATATTTTTTCGGTATGGTGACATAATGTCACATGTAAAAGGTTAGGCTTTTGCATTTGTCTCTTTTCCATTGCCTGCAAAGGGAAAGAAGGAAAGAAATGGCAGGGAGGGCTGACTTGGGGTTGAATGGAAGCCCTACTTTGAGTCCAATTGATCTTTGACCAGAAATGGGACATAGGCATTCAAGTGGTGGTAGGGAGCAAGGGAAGCTCACATTTTTTAGTCCTACTTTTAAAATCCCCACCCCCTTCATAATATCCAGCAGAAACATTCCCACTATGAAAAAAGCTATTTTCCCCAACATTGAAAAATCTATATGGTTTTATTATATTATTACACTTATCATCAAATAGCAGGGTACATTATATTATCCCTCTAGTGAAGATTTCTGAAAGTGAAAGGAATTAGAGAGCTATTCAAGACACACAGTTACTCCTGAAGCTGATTATATCAATAACTCAGAGTAACCACTGAAATGCTGTATTTGGGGTATATTAATGTCTTCATTAGAATAGTTTAAATCATCACAACTGATTTTAACCTGTGACAAAGAATAGCGTTTTCCTTTCCCTGTCCTGGCAGCCAGGCGCTTTATTCTGCTTTTGTCTTAAAATCCTCTTGATGTGGAACAGCTGCCATCTTCAACCTGATTAACATATAGGCATGGCTTCTTTATTGCCAGCAATAGCTTTGCGGCACAAATCACAGGGATTCAAAGAGCCAGGGAAATGATCCAACTGCTCGCACAATAACAATGACATATGATTTCAAACAATCCCCCACTTGGGAAAGGAGAGCTTTTGAATCTGATCTTGCCACTTTGCTTGCGAATTAGCACTTCCCAGGTCAGGTTGGACGGGTGTCACCACGGGAGCCACCAAATCTAAACCTCTTTTCAAGGGTGCAGATGAAGATGTCAGAAGGGATAGATTTCAAAGAGCTGGAGGGACAGGCTCCCTGGGCATTTAGGGATATTGTTCCCAAGATGCTGGTCTCATTTCCCCTGCCTTGAGAGACTACCAGGATTTGGAATGAAGGATCACAGGAACACCACGACTAAGGCATATCAGGATGACTGGGGGTGGGGACGAGAACAATAAAGGAGTTGGTAGAGCAAAAACGGCCATAATGACATGTACCTGATCCTGAGCTGTAGGCAAGATTCTGGCACAGAAGAGGAGGAATGGGGAAGTCCAGCAGTAGAAGCCTCAGAGTTGCTAAGCTCAGGCTGAGGCTCCAACCAAGCCTGGCAGCCAAGTGGCCTTCCTTAGCTCAAATGGAACTGTCCCAAAGACAGATTCCTTTGATGAACTTGCCCCCTTCACAACAGGGGCCTTGTGTGCTCTAGCTCCTGCTCACTATTGTGGGGAACGCATAAGGAAGGAACTCAAAGAGAGGTGACGGAGTCTCAGGCTTTGAGCCAGAACAGTGTATGATGCCTAGGAGACATAATCAGGCACAAGAGGGATGATAGGCCACAGATGAGCTCCAATCCTTGATCAAAACAAACTTTCTGCTTGGAGTTATCCAAGGTCCTGAAACTCCAAATCAAAGTTATCTGTATGCCTGACCTACCATCAGGCACGATGAATGATGAGCATTGCAAATCAGAAGATCAGAAGGGGTGGTGATGGCGTTTCTTGCTTAGGAATACACACAGGCCCTGGATGTTTTTGGGCTCAAAAACAGTAAGCTGTGAACAGAGCATGGCAAGAGCTTTTGCAACAGCAGATTTGAAGGGAAAATAAATAAGTAATACATCTTGCTAAGGGTTGCTTTTGTGCGTATGCATACATAATGAATGGGAAAGGCTAAATGCCATTTATCTGAATAGAGGGATAAACCCTGAAAGGCAGCCTAAAAAATTACATCAACAAACATAAACAATTACATGAACAGTTGCTTAGACTTTGAAAGAGTTTTAAAAGCAGTTTGCGAAAAAACAAATTTTCATTTATATTTTATTTTATTTTATAGAAATAAAAGGTTGGGGTACAATAAAGCATGCAAACAGCAATAATGACGACGATGGTAACAATAACAACAACAACAATAATATAAAGGAAGGATTGATAGCAAATCAGAACAGAAATAAAAGCAACAATAATAACAATATATAAAAAAAGAACTTGGCCTGCATGCTCTCGCCCTACAAGTGCCTGTGAAAATGAATTAAGTATTCAGCTGGTGACGAAAACTCATAAGGGTCTGTGCCACCTGAATTGTGTAGCTGAGGTGCCACCACAGAGATCGCCTTTCCCCATGATACCACTTAACAAATCTCACCTGGCACAACCAAAAGACCCACCTCCAACAATCTTAACACACAGGCAAGCCAATATGGAGGAAGACACTCGTTTAAGTACTTAGATCCCAAGTTTTATAGGGCTTCATAAGTAATCACTAGCATCTTGAATTTGGCCCAGTAACATATTGGCAGCGTTTGCAGTGTTTTCAGGATTGGCATTATACAATTCCAGTAAGCTAATCCACTCAACGGCGTTTCCGTGTGCTGCGCTGGCTCGCCAGATGCAGCTTGTCACGCTGGCCACGTGACCCGGAAGTGTCTGCGGACAGCGCTGGCTCCCGACCTCTAGAGTGAGATCAGCGCACAACCCTAGAGTCTGTCAAGACTGGCCCGTACGGGCAGGGGTACCTTTACCTTTTTTAATCCACTCAACAGCTGAGCTGCTGCATTGTGCACTAGCCACAGCTTCTGAACTGTCTTGATGGACAGCCCCACATAGAGCACATTAGAGTGACTGAGCCAGGAGGCCACCGGCATGTGGGTCACCATGGGGAAGCTATCCCAGTCCAGTAAAAGCTGTAAATGGTGAACCAGCAAAAGGCATTTGTTGCCCCTGAGTCCACCTGTGCCTCCAGCAACAGTACACCCCAGACTATAGACTGTCTTTTTCAGGGGGGTGTTACCCATCTAGGACATCTACCTAATTCCTGGACACAAGAACCATCTGCCTACAGGACCCCCAGTATATTGGCATTCAGCCTTAGCTTATCCAGCCCACCACTGTGTCTAAGCACTGGTTCAGCACTTGTACCACTCCATCTGACTCCAATGACAAGGAGAAGAGGGGCAAGATGTCCTCAGAATATCGTTCCAAAACTTCTAATGACCCCTCCCAGAAAAGCAGAGATGTTAACCTTGCAGCACCCTACAGTACAACTGTCATGGGGCCATGTATTGCTTATCAATGCTACTTCATGGAATTGCAGGTAGCAGCAGAACCACCAGTTCCACCATTCCTTCAACTCCTAGCCTGCTGAGCCAGTCCAACAGCACACCATGGTCAAAAGTATCAAAAGCTGCTGCAAGATCAAGGCAAAGCAACAGGATCTGCACACTCCCTGTCCACCCCCAATAATCAGTTCTCCTGCGTTGGGCACCGATGAACATATTATGAATAAAGCAATTGGTCTTATAATGTACTGAAAAGAAAACCGAGCAGAGGATTGTATTCATCCCAAGCTTTGCATCCCACTACAAGGCAAATTGCCATGGGCTAAGGCAATGAATCATACTATGTATCTTTTTAATTAGTTCATTATACAGAGAGACAGAAACAGAAAAATAGATTATATGTATCAATGCAATCTTAATTAGGGTCCATTTTATCCATCTCATCAAAGATTTCCTGAACTAAGGCATCACTGAAAAACACATGGAGAACACCAATTCAGTAAACGAAAGAAATGTATGCAACTCTACATATTGCTTAATATGAACAGCTTTGTTAGGTTAAAGTCTTGCAGAAGATTCCCACCTGCCTGTGCATTGGTGTTATGTTTTCCCCGTGGAAAATGAAGTATCTTGAAAAGCACACTGGACTCTTTGGCTTCCACCTGAAATTATGATTTTGAGATCTACATCTATACATCCACATGCCATCCAGCTAACTGCTTAGCTCATAGACCCTAATAGTGGCATTTGATTGCTTCTTGTGGCTACACTTATAATAGTTTCTCACACTCTTACACTCCAAATGCATTTCACTGGACTTGAATCCAATACGGAAGTGTTCCTCATCATATATAGCCTCTGTTTGCATCCATGCTGAAACTTTTTCAAGCAACTGTGGGATAAAGGATTGTTACTCTGATAATCCCAGTTGGGGGCTTTATCAGAAAATATGGGTATAGCAAATAGTAAAGAACTGCTTCTTACACCAACTTTGTGGGTAGAAGCTTAACATTTCATGGGGATGTTTAGCTATAGTTTGACATGGTACTGATAATGCCAAGGTTGCAGGTTCGATCCCTGTATTGGACTGCTGTGAATTCCTGAAATGCAGAGGGTTGGGTTAGATGAACCTCAGGGTTCGTTCTAACTCTACAGTTCTTTGATTCAAAGGGTGCCCAGGATTGGTCAAGTTGTCAAATTAATTGGAATCAGTGACCACAATTGCTAAGAAAACCAGCATATTTATTGAGTGGACAGATTTAGGATATGTATATAGAGAGCTAAAATGGATTCTTAATATTCACTGAAGTCCAGCGCCAAGGGCCTTCTGGCGGTTCCCTCGCTGTGAGAAGTCAAGTTACAGGGAACCAGGCAGAGAGCCTTCTGGGTAGTGGCACCCGCCCTGTGGAACGCCCTCCCACCAGATGTCAAATAGAAAAATAACTACTAAACTTTTAGAAGACATCTAAAGGCAGCCCTGTTTAGGGAAGCTTTTAATGTTTAATAGGTTATTGTATTTTAGTGTTTTGTTGGAAGCCACCCAGAGCGGCTGGGGGGACCCAGCCAGATGGGCGGGGTATAAATAATAAATTATTATTATATTATTATTATTCAGGGAACAACATATCTCTCGTTAGAACAGGGATGAGGAACCTGTGGATCTCTCAAAATTTTTGAATTACAGCTCCCATAATTCCTGGCTATTAGCCATGCAGGCTGGGACTGTTGGAAGAGTGTGAGTCACAGGTTTCCCATTTCTAGGGGGTAAGGATATCGATAGCCATTGGCCAACAACATTACCGCCATTATCAGAGGTGACATGCCTCTTGAATATCAGTTGCTAGGGATCTCGAGCTGAAGAGTGCCCTTATGGTCACATCCTCCTTGCAGGCTTCCCATAGGCATCTAGCTGGCCATTGTGAGAAAAGAATGCTGGACTAGACAAGCCTTTGGTGTGATCCAACATGGTGCTTCCTATGATTTTAATGAGCATGCTCAGTGGGCACAGAATGTTGTGGGGAGGGGAGGAGTGTAAAATGAGAAAGAGGATAGGGCTAGATGGAATGGAGTATCTTGGAAGAGAATGTGGCTGGCAGGCTGGAATGCTAAACAGGAATACTGCTCTTGTATATGCTGAAACATTTTATTGCATTTCCTTTTTGTTTACAGGAAACCCCAGTCATAAAAGTTCTTTTTTCAAGATTATTGTGGTGTTTTTTTTAATAACAGGGACTAGCACCATAAATTTTCATGGGATTTGCAGATCAATTTGCAGATACCATCTAATGTACAACCTCTTTTAGTTTTTTGGGGGGATATTAGATACAGAAAAGTTAAATTTTACTTATTTGTATCCTGTCCTTTCTCCAAAGACCTTAGGGTGATGCACGTGGAAATCCTCACAACAACCTTGTGTTGTACATTATACTGAGAAACCCAGACAACCTGACAGCTGAGTGGGGGTTTCAACCCAAGTCTCACCGGTCCAACACACTAGTCAGCTGCTGAACGATACTGATGCACTGACTATACCAACTGAAAATAATGCGAAAGAATGGGAAATATGTAACTGAACGTGACATATTCCTAAGACCTGTCCAAACATGAATTGTGTACAGTGGCAAAGTGAAGGAAGCGAGAGTTGGTGGATCATGCAATGGAATGGTACAAGTTGACGTTGTGGAACTGGAGTAGTTAATAACACATATGAAGGAGGAGTTGTGTGTGTGTGTGTGTGTGTGTGTGTGTTTCTGTGAACGCGTGCCATGAGCTACACATTTTATACATCTGCTTATTTCACCTCCTGGGCTACACCACATTGAGCCCAACCATTGCCGAATGGTGAAAACATGATGGAGCGATAGGAAACCTGTGTTCTGAGGGAGGCAGCAAACATTGGCTCAGATTGGCTGAGAGAATGTAGTCTGGCAGCTCTCAATTGGCTGGTGTTTCTGCTTTAAAACTGTCCATTGAATTTCCTCTGCATAAATGTATAAATGACACTGAAGGCTGCAAAGCTGTAACGTGCCAACCTCCCTCCTCTGTGCTCCAAGCCCATCATAATACAATTCCTATGTCCTATATATTATTGGCATTGCAATGCAGTTACTGGAGGACATAGGAAACTTAGCAAATGTTAGTGTCCCTCTCTAGAGGCCTGCACCTATGACTGGCGAAAATGATCATTCGCCCTTCCCTCCCTTCCTTCTCACTGTTGACCAAGGTTATTCTCTTTATCATGCACAGATTTTATTGAGTGATGCCAAGTGAGATGAATAGAAGGAAATAATGACAGTGCTGTAGTGATGAAAAGGGAGACAGGGGTCGTCTAGGTTTTATACCGAACAAATTGAGTCACATCCACTTCTCATCCATTATTTAGGGGTGATTGGGCAGGCTTGGCTTCTATAGATTTGATAATCATTCAGATGTCCATATTAAATATGTAACGTAAATTTCTCATTTGGATGTCAATGGCCTGTCAGTGCAGAACAACAATGCATAAAAAGAGCCGTGATGTATGGATTCTCAGAAATATTTGACATCAATAAATATGTAAAAGGCAGATAATAAAACCTGTTTCTGTCTGCCTGCCAGCTAGCCTTCATGTCAGGCCGGACAGTCCCATCTAATACTGTGATTTTATGCAGCAGTATACTATGAATATTGGCCTGCACACGAGAGATTAAAGCACAGCAGATGTTTCTCTGCAGGCTAACAAATATATCACCCCTGATAACGAATGACAAATGTTGTTCCATATTGTGTCAGACAAAACCAGGGCTCTTGTAAAACAAGTGTTACAGCTGGAATAGGATATTTTAACACAGTTACCTTAGGAGTAGACAGACAAGCCGCCTGCTCCAGAGGTAGCTGAAATCCCAATCTGCGGCTGTGGATTCAGCTACCTAGGAAGCTCCATGGCATTAAGCGCAAAACAAGCAAACCTTTCCAAGGACTAGAGAAGGATTTCTCAGTCTTCGCTTTTCGCAACAGAAAGCTTTGAAAATGATTTGCCAACCTTTATTAATTTTAATTTTCATCACCTGGGATCAGCCACGGCTGACGATGAGGGCAGATGTTGCATGTGAGATCTGCAACAAAATGTTGCAGTGTGCCTCTTTGCCCCCTAATAGAAGTGCTCTGGTTCAGGGTTCCGGTCAGCCATCAAGCCACACCCTCCTCCAGGTGACTATAAGCTGTAGGGGGCTGAAGCAAGGCATTCCACGCTCCCCCCTTCCTGTTTTCTATTTTTCTTTTCCTTACATGTTGCGAGTCCTACACTGCACCAAGAATTTTTAATTAGTTTTGGACTATTTATGTTCCCAGCCCTGGATTCTTCCCATCCCCTGCATGTTTTGCCTTTCTGCAAACCTCACATTCATACAAGCATGTGGATACCCCAGTCTCTCATTTTTCAGTGGCACAGTTTTGGCACCAGTCCTGTTGCGACACAACCACCAGAGTTCAGTACAGTGGTACCTCGGGTTAAGAACTTAATTCATTCTGGAGATCCACTCTTAACCTGAAACTGTTCTTAACCTGAGGTACCACTTTAGCTAATGGGGCCTCCCGCTGCGTGATGTCTGTTCTCATCCTGAAGCAAAGTTCCTAACCCGAGGTACTATTTCTGGGTTAGCAGAATCTGTAACCTGAAGCGTCTGTAACCCGAGGTACAACTGTATTATAAACTGATAAGCTTTCTGTTTGTTTTGCACGGTTATGCTACATGAAATTTGAAAGAACAAGGCCCATCCCTGCTTGAGGGCATCATGTTGACTCCTCCTCTGTACAATCACATGCATACTGAGTTCAAACCATGGTTGAAATGACACAAAAGGAAGAGCAAGGTTGAGTAAACTAAGCAATTGCTAAAGACATTTGCTCTATTTGTATAGTTTTCCTGCCCTGAACTCAAAGGCTAGGGTGGGTTATAAATTTAATTAACGAAGTTGAACTCTACCTCATAGTTCAATGCATGTGCCTAACATAAGTCTTGTGTGCAGAATGTCCCAGGTCCAATCCCAGAATCTCCAGTTAGGGCTGAAACTCTGGAGAGCTGTTGCTAGTACAGTAGTACCTCAGGTTACATACGCTTCAGGTTACATACGCTTCAGGTTACAGACCCAGAAATAGTGCTTCAGGTTAAGAACTTTGCTTCAGGAATCGTGCTCTCATGGTGCGGCAGCAGCGGGAGTCCCCATTACTTAAGTGGTGCTTCAGGTTAAGAACAGTTTCAGGTTAAGAACGGACCTCCGGAACGAATTAAGTACTTAACCTGAGGTACCACTGTATACAATACTGGGCAAGATGGTCTAGTGGTCTGACCTGGTAGAAGACAGTTATCTCCTGTGTATCTTGTGTTGAATTTGGCTTTCTGCAGCAGAGAACATGAAAGCCCCACTCATTCATGTATTTATTATCAAATATTGCTATAAACTACTCAAGATGGCTTTCAGCTAGGGCAAAATTTGCCAACTATAGCCAACAAACAAAACAAGAGGACTAACACCAATGAAAGCAACTTCAGAAAGAAATGCCCTCATATAGCTCCAATGTTAATAGATTAAAAGTATTTAACGTTGGCACTATGAACGCCTATTATGACTCTGAGATTACCAGCCGTTACGAGCTTCAGCATCATTCACTGAGTACAAAACGAAACCAAACATGCTTATCCTGCTAACAGAGGTGCTTAGGGAAATAAAGGCAATATAGCCACATGGCAAGTTTCAATCACTTCCTGGCTCGTTAACAAACTTTCCCCCTCCGCCTCTCCGAGCAGACACTTTGCTTCCCAGCTACGGTGTTTTCCCCAAGCAATTTTATACAATGAGACGGTAACAGTTGTTTGTCTGATAAAGCACGTACAATTTAGAACACAGATGTTTGATTATTATTTATTTCTCTCCAAAGCTTGCTAATTCAGTCCCAAATGATCTCTCCCTCCCTCCCTTTTGCCTAAATTTAATTTGGAATGTATGTTGTTGGTAAGTGACAGATAGTTTAATTATTAATAGGATCCCGCAATGCAATGCACCGCCATCTTTAAGGTCACCTGGGGCCAAACAACCACAGCTTCCATCGCTCCTTATGC